GATAAACAACATATAAAAGAAATGTCCCTAATAAAAAGTGATAAAAAAATAAAAAATAAACACTTCCTTGGGAATCATCACCTGCCTAATAAAAGGTATGGAATAGTACAGTATAAAAGACTGTGTCTGCGCTTCTATGTCTGTCTGTTAGCAAAATGACCCTCTGGATGGATTTTATTGCAACTCTCATTAGGCAATAATTAAGTACACACTCACAAAATGATTAACTTCCGGGACAACTGAGGGCTGATCACGCCTGAGCTTTGTTTAAAATATTGGTGCACAGTGTGTGTTAATGAACTTCTTCAATAAATACTTGTTTACTGCTTGTTAAACTTTTTCTCTTGTTTTTTGCAGTTTGTCATTTTGCAGAAGATAAAGTTTCTTGGACAGAACTCGATCTCATGTTTTTTTTTCTTGTTTTGTGTCCCAACAGGTGAGATTACAAGTTGGTGTTTACATTGTATATTTAATAGACTGGCTGACCGTTTTCAGCCGGGAACAGTTTCTGATCCTGAGGCTGGAAGACCACGCTAGTAACAGGAAATACACCATGCACAAAGTCTTTGATTTTCTCAGCCTCGGTGAGTGACAGAAAACTTAGATCAGTGTGACACAACACAATTTTTTTCCCCCCTGAAAACCAAAAGCAGACTCATTACAAAAGGTGTTTGTGTGTCTTACAGGACCACTGACAAAAGAAATAGAGTCAGAAATCACAAGAAGTCCAGCATCCAACACCAGAAGACCAGCAGATAAAAACTTGGGGCCCATGCTGCCGATCACTAAGGAGATCCTGCATGACTTTTACTCGCCGTTCAATCAGAAACTGGCTAAAGTTCTGCGGAACGACTCCTTCCTCTGGGAGAAATAACTCAACCCTCCCCGAGCAATCAGACTTTCTCTTCATCTCTCAAGTGCCCATAAAAAAAGCAACCCTATTTTTTAAATGTAAATTATTTTTAAGTTATAAAATGCAGAAATGAATCAGAGATACAAAAAAATTAAAAAGCACAAGTGTGTGTGTGTGTGTGTGTGTGTGTGTGTGTGTGTGTGTGTGTGTGTGTGTGTGT